TTTTGGGGGGGGGGGGGGCGGAATTAAACATTTTAGGATTATTTATTACAGGTATTTCTATAGAGCAAACAATTTATGCAGCGCTTTGCATACTGTACATCCACATATGTCCCAGCCCTCAAGGAGCTCACAAGTCCCTATTGCACCCTGGGAGACCATGCAAACTTCATGCAGATAGTGTCCTAGATGTGATTCAAACTGAGGACCCCATTGCTGCAAAGCAGGAGCCCTAACAACTGAGCCACTGCGTATAGCCATGCAAATCATCCCTTTATGCCCCAATGGCCAACTTTACTTTCAGGACCACTGGTGTATAGTACAGATACGTCCTAATTGTAAAAAATGCACACAGCTGGTTCAGGTTTGCTCACCATCATCAGTGCAGTGCATGGAAAACACCAATTCTTTGGAATAGGGATTTGGGACCATAGAGAAATAAAAAGTGGGAAGCTTATGATCAGAAGGAATCAAAGTGAAGGTGCCTATACACTGTACGATTATCGTACATGAATCGCGGGGAATCCCGCGATCTTACGATAATCGCAAAGTGTATGGAAGGCGTGCAACCGTTTCTACTGTACGGTTGCACGTCCTCCGTCGAACAAGCAGGCTGGAAACCCCACCGGGAATCGTACGATTCTCGGCGAGTTAGTGGCCTGCTTGTTCGATAACTGCCGAACGGGCCGGTGTGCGCACGCGCACACTGCCCGTTTGCAGTCATCGTAAGCCCGCCCCTCATTGCAGTCAAGGGGGCGGGCTTGCGATGATCGCAAGTACGATCTGCCTGTCCAAGATGGGTAGATCGTACGTTTTTTACATTACTTTACAACCCTCGCAAAACAAAAGTCTTGCGAGGATTGTAAAGTGTATGGCCACCTTGAGTCAGTGCATAGTACAGTAAAGACTTCTTAGTACACAAGGTGTTAGCACATCTCATTCCATCACATATCCCATAATAAAAAGAAATGACTAATGTCCTATTAAAGTGTATGCAATTGTAATAGTATAAGGAATGGTCTTTTTTTTTTTATTTACTTCCTGTCCCAGAGACACAGCAGGAAGTAAGAAGAGATCTCTACCAAGTGAAGGGATATTCCGTCTTAGGGCATTGTCATTAAAACAGATGTCCCCATTGGAAGATTTCTCCTCACCTCCAGTCCCGGTGACAACTCAAACAATGTGCCTATCACTTTCTGCGCCCAAGTCAATGACCATGCTTTATAGGGTTTTTCATGCTTTTAGGGGCTCATTTTTGCCTTCCTCTGGATTAACTGTGGCCATAGGGTTCTGTTTTAGGTTTTTCTTCTCTCTAGAAGTCGAACTTGATGGGCTTGTGGCTTTCTTCAACCTATGTAACCACTAGTACCGATAATGAGGGTAAATCTCCCCAGCGAGGACATAGACAGCAATAAAAGCCTGACATATGTTCTACCTTTTCCATATTCTATCCAAAATAAAATAAAAATGTGTGGGCTATAAATATCCTTTAAGAATGATCAAGAAACATTTAATGCCAATTAACATATGGTCACTTTATGTTTGTTTAGAAAATATCTGATTTCATATTTTCCCCACATATGTTGTTATAACACCCATTTAATAATAAATAGAATCTAGCCATAACATCTCTCACACAATTAGCAGAACAACCACTAAAGTTCACAGAGAAAAGAATAAGAGGAAGACATAGCATCTGTCAATCAGGACACAAAAAGAAAAAACACAAGTTGTATTGAATTACAACATTTACAGGATTCTTTACGATTGTGCAAACAGCACCGATGATGCACAAAGTTCAGCAGTCAGATTTCACATTGAGCTAATCACGGACTGTCAGCATCTGAGCCACCGGACATTTCACATGTTTAGTACCCAGCACATTCATGTATACAGCCCCATTCACACTAGGCTTCGATTAGGTGTTATGCATTTTTAATGGTTTTCTAAACGCATATAAATGCATCTAATGATTTCCAATGGATCCATTCACAACTTGCATTTAGATGCGTTTATTAAAAATAGAAGTCAGGTGCATCCAGGAAACATTTCAAGCTTCTAAACGCATGTAAACGCAAGATGTGTTTATTTGCTGAAATCTCATTTGCTACTTCAATGGACAAAGGACAGATGCATCTAAAAGCATATGCGTGTGAACACGCATCATGTTCAGCATCTAGAAGCATAAAAAAGCATCTAGCCTGAGGTCAGGTTCACACCTGGGCCATTTGTGACCGCGCAGCAATTATGAACACGACGAACGTGCTGGCGGTGCCATTATTTTCTAATGGCACCCCAGTCGTCCCAGGCAGATCGCGCAGTGCGTGTCACCAAAAAAGGTACATTAACTTTTTATCATCGATTGCTACATGGATTTAGGGCCCTGTCAAACCATCAGGAGTGTGTTGCATTACGTTCGGCCTCTGGAACGCACCCATGCCTGCTCAGTTTTTTGGGGGGCGGGAGGGGGCGTGGCAGTGCATTGAACTCAATGGCACCGCAGCCGCACACCCCCGCGGTCCGATCGCAGGCACCTGGTTGCATCGCACATTAGTGTCTGCGTTCCGGTCCAGTGCGATCTGCAAAAAATGCGGCTAACACAATTTTTTGCAGATCGCACTGGACCGCAACGCAGGCACTAATGTGCCATGCATTAGGGTGTCGGGGACTGCACGGCGGGCAGGGGACATGGCTGTTCAATGCACCGTCACACACTCTCCCGCCCCCAAAAAAACTGAGCCGGCCAGGTTGCGCTCCAGAGACCGAACGCACTCTTGATGGTGTGACTGGACCCTCAACCCAATGGGGCCACGCAGCAACCAATGTGTGCACCCGCGCTGAAGTCTGCACCTGCCCAGTTTGGGCAGACAGTTCTCTGCATAAAAGCACAAGTGGACAGCGTGAAGGAGGCCTAATAATACTAAATAGATGTTGCATTAGAAAAAAAACACTATCAAAACATTTGCTTTTCCATATCACCCGCCTTCCATTGTCAGATGTGGTGTAGCTGCTGTTCCTTCCTGTTTATTTTCCTGACACTCAGTGTTTCAGAAATACATAAACAATATACATCCTGGGGGGCAGTCAACTTACCAGAGTACAGATGTGTATTTGGCCGGATACTCACTGTGAGAAGGATATTGCAGATGATGTGAGACTACATCTGACTGATGGGAGCAATTTGGTATTTACATGAAACCTTTCCTGACGCAGATATGGAGGCTGCCATTACTACCTCTCATTCTGAAAATGCCACTGGCCTGGCTATCATATCATATTTACGCATTTGCTTTACTGCTTTGTGTCCTTTTACCCAGAACAAGAATATAAATAGGTCTGACACTTTACAGTTATGAGTGCTTGTTTCAGATAGGTGACTCCAATTAGCATCTTCGAAAGGTGACTGGCAATGGCAACCTGCGTGTATCTCTCAAGAAAGATGAAGCAAATCCAGAGCACTCCGCACAGCAATAGACCATATCTAGAGGATGTTATGGGGAAATGATGACAGATGGCATTGTTATAGCAGACATCAAAGATTATATATCATCACCAGCACACCATACTGAAAAGGTAAATGTGGGAAATGTATTTGTCATCCATAAAAAGGAACATTTCGAGGGGCCTAGGTAGTGGTCACTACTACATGAGGAAGGACCCCCGCCCCCCGTCACTTTTTATAGGTGACGAATAAGTGTCCTACCTTTACCTTTCAGCATGATGCACTGGTGATGATATATCATCATTGACTTCTCTCCGGAAGGGTTTGCTTTATATTTATGTCACACAGCTGAAAGCCGAAATAAAACACACACAAATGGCATCCATTATATGACGCCCTCATTCCCCGACACTCAGCCCTCTCTCACCTTATACACTTTCCCAAAGGCTCCGTCACCCAGCTCCCCTATGATCTCCCAGAATTCCTCCGGGTTCTGATCCCTCTTGACATGTTCATATTGTTTTTTCTTCTTGTCTCCGCCGAGTTTAAAGATCTTCCGAAAGTTGAAGAAAGACATTTCCTCTGTGCTGGTGGCTGCAGCCCAAACCTCAGACCGCAGCCCTGGATAGGGAGCTGAATGTGTTTAGACTGTCAGCAGGGGGCAGCTGGCTTCATGCCCCCTCAGGAGTAAATAGAAAGGAGATGAGCCTTGGAAGATCCAAGTGATCACTCCCAGAAGATCCTACTCTGGTGGTGAAGATTGTGCCGGATCACCCAGATGGTCCCTGTACAAGTTGCAGGTAGATCCTGATGGCCCCCTCTGGGTATAGATCCTTGTGATCTTTGGTGGATCCCAGGGGTGGATCTTGCTGATGCACTGACAAATCCTGCTTGATCCACTATGTATAGAGTTATATCCACCGAGATCCCTCTGTGATACCCTGGTTAGATCGCAGTGTATCCCTCAGTAGGATCTTTTAATGGATGTGGCATACAAGATCCCTTTCATGGAACCATGGACGGTTACCCTGCTGATAAACGGGTAGATTCCAGTAGATCCCTTCCGTAGCACACCTATCGCTGTCAGTGCTGGTCCAGTAGATCACAGAATCATCCCTGCCCAGGGCTGTCCGCAATGTCACTCAGGTAAGGAGGAGGGATGTCAGAATACACCTGCCCTGGATCCTATACGCAGGCCGCGGGCAGCTCACACTGTCAGGCCCAACCCATCCTCACACGGCCCGGCGAGAGGAGAAGGAGGAGTAGAGGGGGGGGGAAGAGGAGGAGGAAAAGGCGGGGGAGTGACCCGAGCACTGCGCACTGAGCCTGCCTCTCGCGCTGACACCCGAACACACCGACACCCGCCGGGCGGAACGAGGTAAGTGACAACAGCGGACTGCACACAGCCTTAGCACAGGAGGAAACAACGCGCTACTTCCTCTGTGTCAGGCTTGTGCGCGCCCCCGCATCTCCACTCAGCGCGCACGCGTTCCCCTGGCAACACTTTTTTTTCCCGTCATCAAACTTTATTGACATTAAAAGTGACACTCCACTGTCGAGTCAGACAGACTTGTGAATATTTCTGCGGAGTTATGGCGTCTTTCACTCCGCCGCCTGCTTGTGTTTCATTTAGTTCACCATTGCTTTCTTTTACAGATGTCGTATTTCAATGAAAGTTTATCTTTAGACAATGTCTTTATTATTTTAGTTTTTGATGGAGTGGTAATGATGGTCATAGACTTTTAGTTTATTTCTTCTTAAGCCCCTGCGGGCTAAATAAGGAAATAAACCATTCAGTTCCCTCCTATGGACCACAGAGAGTGAATGGAGGAATCTCCCCCTATGGGATGTTGTACCCTGACAGCCGTCGCCTGTGTCAGGCAGACAGGGGCAGCCAAAATTAAGATAGGGGCTGCTGGCCTCTAAATTAAAATAGTCTCAACTGTGATATTTACATATGAATGGGTGGCGCTATTTACATATGAATGAGCCACGACCAGAGGCGTAACTAAAACCTTCAGGGCCCCGGTGCAAGAAACCATAAAGGGCCCCCCCAACCCCGCGGCACTGCATGGTTAACAGGAAGGCTGCCGAGGTCCCCAGCAAGCGTGAGACCTCAGGCTGTCCTGCATAGTTGGAGCTATTCTGCATTGCTGTATAATGATTATACAGCAATGCAGAATACCACCAGCTGTGCTGGACTACAAGTCCCAGCAACACACACACACACTCTCTCTCTCTCTCTTCCCAGCACCCGCTCCCACTCCAAACTCACCTTACCTCTCCTGCAGGCCCATGGCCCTCTTCCTCGTCTCGGCGGCCAGGGGCGGAGCTAAGGGGAGACTGACCTCTCAGCTCCGCCCCTAAGAGGTGGGGCCAGCAAATTCTCAGAGATCAATGACAGCCTCCAGCCCTTTTGCACAGCTGCCCGTACATGCTGCGGGTGGCTGTGCGACAGGGAAGGAGCGGAACGATCGCGGGGGGGCCCTCTACTTCCTTGCTGGGCCCCCCCAAGTGGCAGGACGCCAGGGCCCGGTCGCAATTGCGACCGCTGCGGCCCTGGTAGTTCCGCCAGTGGCCACGACTCGTTCTCCCCCAAAAAATATCTGCGTGTTGCTAGAGTTTTCGGGTTTTGCTTGAAAAAAAGGTGGCAACCCTAGAACAGTGCCTGCTGCATTCCCTGTGTCTGATTGGCTGCATTCCCTGACAGTTTTCAGTCCAGCTTCTGCAACAAAAGTCGATTGCTGACAGGGCCGCCCACAGCCTTGAATTTTGAATTAACAGGAATCAACAGAAAGTGGAGAAGTCTATGGCCAACGTTATGCCCTCTGTCAAGTTTGCATTGCTGCCTGTGTCCCCATTGGGGAGATTCACCCCTCTATTTGTACTGGAGACCAGAATGAAAGGGAATTGAAATCCCAAATTTGTGGGCTTGTTCACACCAATTGCGGTGCGTTCCAGAGCGGTAGATGCTGGAACGCACTGTAATCGCACACTAAACTCCCCCCCTTCATTCTGGGGCGGGAGGGGGCGTGGCAGTGCGTTGAAGTCAAAGGCACAGCAGCTACGCCCCCCGTCCGCAGTGAGATTGGATGCGTGTCAAAACATTGCCTGCGATCCGTTTCAGTGCGAACGCAAAAAAAACGCTGCATGCTCGCCCCCCCTTCTCCCGCCAGGGGTGTTTAGTGTGCGATTACAGCAGCTACCGCTCTGGAACGCACCGTAATTGGTGTGAACTGGCTCTTGTCCCCAGAACAGGAGGTGAGGGAAAATCTTACAGTGGGGACACTTGTTCCTTGGATAACTAAGAGGGGAATTCTAACTTACATCCTGTTACATGTCTGAGGCAGGAAGTGAATGGAAATTTTCCTAATAGGAGGCAGACAGCAAAAAGTAAACTGGAGGGGGTTCTAACCCTTGCCTACACTATCCCAAAAGAAAGTTTGGGCTAGCGTGGTGTCCCTGCCACTAAATTTAACATTGCAGCTAGACTGTATCTGGCCTGTTCATTTACATTATCTGGGGTCATTGGGTTTCTCCTAAGCCCGGGGTGGGCAACTCCAGCCCTCCAGCTGTGCTTTAACCACCTCAGGGCCGGCCGTTGTAAAAAAACGGCCGGCCGAGAGGTCTTTAGATCTGAGCGGGCGTCTTTAGACGAGCGGGAAATGGCCGTTATTTAAAAACAGGCAGCGATGCCTGTTACCATACAAGCGATCCGCCGGCTGTAGTGCCGGCGGATCGCGTGTATGGTGTGCCGATCAGTCGCCCCCGCAGTTGTCCCGTTTTCTGAAAAATGGCCTGGCCAGGAAGGGGGTCTAAACACCTGGTCTTGAAGTGGTTAAAGGAGAACTATGAGGCATGTGAAAATCACTCAGCCTCATAGTTCGAGCCGACGTGTGACAATGAAACTGTCACAGGTCGGCTCAATAGATCGGGAAGTGAGCGAACACATACCGTCGCTCGCTCACTTCTCGATCCTGTGCCGGCAGAGAGTTGTGACTTTCACTCACAGCTCCCTGCAGAGATTCCCCTCTCCCCTGTCCGATCCTCCAGCGCTGACTGGCGGAACGGTCTCTAGATAGGCAGAGCCAGCTGTCACTCACGCAGTTGGGTGGATCCAGACAGTAATGTCGGGATCCGTCCCGGCTGTGGCGTCTCAGTATACCATGAGCTGTAGCTCGCGGTATACTGAGCTTTGGGTGACGGGAGGATGCTAGTTTGTGTCCTCCCGTTACCCTTAGGAGAACTATGGGGAAAAGCCCTGACCCCATAGTTCTCCTTTAACTACAAATCCCAACATGCCTGGGTATATCTCCACAAAGAGGTCCAGTTAATGCTTCTCAGGCCTGCTGTCTGGTGAAGGGAGCTGCAGAAGAGTTCTGCTTAGTCAATTGCCAGTCCTGGTTTGAAGGGAGGCGGGTTAAGGACACTTAAAGGTAGCTGCCCATCTGACCTACAGAATCTGCAGTAGCCTGTGGCAATGGCAAAGGGATACTGGGAATCCACGGATAAGATACTGTGGGGTGGAGGGAATTTTTGCTGCTGTTTTGGTATCCTGTACCCTCAGCCCTCTATCCTTCGATGTTTAAGCCGGTACATTTTGCAAAAGAAAATTAATGAAGTGGAAGTCTGCCTGCCAGTTACCGTAGGTGAGTGTGTGAGTGCAGCTAAAGGGTAAATCATCAATAGAAAGGCAAGGAGGGCCTGTAAAATTCAGCAGCTCCTCAGAGGGGGGGTCAGTGCTATACTACACATGCACTTTAATCCAACTACTCACTGTGCAAGAGCAATCCGACGATCCAACACATTAGTGAAGAGTTATCAGTCTTTTGTCACATAGCCAGACATTTTGGTACATCAATGTCCCTTGTGCTGCTCCAATATCAGGCTTGTCTCTGTATTCCAGCTATAATGCCGGCCAGAGACGTATTAAAAAGTTATTGTCTGCCAAGAAGCTATTTTAATCTAATGCACTCACCCTCTCCCTAGAAAGGCATGATATTTTTTTACTTACCTACTCATAGAGGACACAAATTCCTCTTTTTTGCCCATGTGATGTCACCATAGGGCCATCATTTGGCAGGGAGGAGATATCACTGTGGGTGCTACTACCCTAGTTGCAGGACGTCACATCAGATTGTGTTCCCACCACAGATTGGAAATGAGGGGGAAACTCATCATGCATGACGATGCAGAACAGGGTGACACTCCACTGGTGGCCATTCAATATTTCCACCCTGTGGGAGAAAGGGGCAGTCACCGGGATCACTAGGTATCAAATTTAGATTTGACTAGTGCAGTATGCTTTTATATTAAATCATGTTTTGGTAGTATTTTCTTTATAATTTGGGTTCAGTTCTTCATTGGGCAATTTCCTACCTCAAAACCATTTCAATCAGTAAAATCAACCTATGGCAACCTATCTAACTGGCAAAGTTTGAGTTTACTGATTGAAATGGTTTTGGTAGATAGAAACAAATAATTGTGAACACCTTGGATTGCGGCCGGCTCGCCTTTTAGTGGGGCAGGATAGGGCGTGGCGGGCCATTGAAGTGAATGGCACCGTAGCCACGCCCTCCAGCCACAATGCGATCGCCCACACAGGATCGCAAGGCACAGCATTTTGATCGCACCGGACCACAGGCACAATGTGCCTTGCGATCCCGTGCGGGCGATCGCATCGTGGCCGGAGGGCGTGGCTACGTTGCCATTCACTTGAATGGCCCAC